GAGCTGGGGGAGTGGAGGGCTCTGCTTCAGGCTCTGCTGTGCCCGATGGGCAGCTCTGGATGTGACGTGGGCACTGCACAGCCCTGCTGGTCTCCCGGCTGCTGGCCGGCCCCACCTTCACTTGTGCTCTGGGACTGAGGGCAGCATCCTGTCCTGTGTCTTCTGAACTTCCACTTCCTCATGCACAGAGTCAGTGTTCTCCATACCGACTTCTGTCATGCAGAATTGTCTAACTGACTCTTCCTTTCTGGGTTTTTTGACTTGTCCCCGGTTGTAACCCTCATTCCTGGGAAGGACAGGCCTTGTACACCGGACCTGAGAGGATCTCTTCTTAGTCGCTTCAACAGCCACACGTTATGTCCACTGAGAAGGCCATGGGGACCATGGATCCATGCACCAGGAGCCCGACTGTTCTTCAGCATGCAGATGGGCACCTTGGTCCTGCCGTCAGCTTACTGGGGACTCGGCTGTGACTCTGATGTGTAGATGACAGGCGGATCTTCAGTCACCTGTGAGGAGAAGCCTCCCGGTGGGAAGGGTCTTTGACCTCGGATACTTGAGAAACAGCAGAAGTGAATGCATCGTGACAGGCAGGAGTTTACGATGTGCCGTCTGTCATCAGGAAAACAAGGGCTTGGGTTTTACTGTTTGAGTCTCCGTAGCGTGTCTAGCAGAGACATTTGTTTGATGTATGTGAGAGGACTCTTCAGTTTAAGCACTGCTTTTTTAGGAGATCTAGCCAGTCCTGAAGATAAAGTAAAACGTTTCCTATTTCCTTTATATTAGATCTGCCTTTGTTCAGACATGACTTAGCTCAGCGATCAGGCACTGGGAAAGAAACCCCCCATCCAATCCCCGAAATGCATAGAGAAGGTGACTGCTTTAGGATTCGCAGCCATGAACTGGAAGACAGTCCATGTATGGACGGCAGGTGGGGGCTCAGAAGCTCGGGGTTGGCTCTGAACGTCCTGGGCTCTGTGTCCGACAGGGCGGACGCCATGGCAGATGCTACTGCTTCCTCTGCTGTTTACATGTCAGCACGTGCTAGAGATCAACTCTTTATCGTCTAACTAGATTGTCCCAATTTGGGGGGAAAAGAGAAATACACTGGGTAATATCTGTTTTAGTCTAAGCTTAGCTTCTGATCATAAAGCCACTGTGTTTTCGCAGCACGTGGGTCACACGAGCAGATGCATGTCTGGACGTACCAACAGGTGGCCTGGGCAAGTCCTCGGGCTTCTGAGGCAAGAGAGACGTTGTAGACTCTCTAATAAGCTGATTTTCACACACTTGATCTTGCCCGGTATTAATATTTTAATACTTTCAGAAAATAATACTTGATCTACCTAATAAAATAAATGAAAGCCTGCTCAATAGATAAAAACCATGTTCAGTGGGATATTCCTCAGACTGAAAAAGGAAGGAAATCCCGTCACATGCTGCCACGGGATGACTGAACCCTGAAGACGTATGCTGAATGAAATAAGCCAGTCCATAAAGACAGACCCGACTGATTCCGCTCCC